AAAAACCAGCCGTGTAAATGTCACCCACATCCTCCAACAGCCACCACAAGGCAGAGGAGAGGAAGCAGCTTCTCCTTGGCAGCCACCCCATCAACCTTCAGTGCTGCTGCTCGGGGGGGCTGATGCAGCCCAGCAGAAGGGCTCCCAGGTGTCACCCGGGGCACCTGGCTTAGCTCAAGAAGGGAGCCTTGTCCCGGGGTCCCCTGCACACAGACAAGGGCTCTGAACCACCTCTGTGGCTTCTCCAGAGAAAAGAGTGGAAAGAGAGGAAGGAACCCGTCCTGAGCCACCATCCACCTCTCGCTGCAGAGAAAAGGCTTTAAACTCCCTCTGAAGGGCTGGACTAGGGGGAAACCGCTGTGCCCCTCCCCAAACCATCTGTTTAGTGCAGAACCAGCAGTTAGTTAAGGCACTGCTCGGCTGTTTTGTACCAACTTCAAAGCTAGAGCTTCCACCCAACCACAGCCCCGCCTGCCCTGCCCCGGGCTGGGACAAACGGGGCTGATTTCCCTGCTTCAGGAGATGGATAAATGAACATTACCTGTGGGCAGCAGGCTGTGGGGATGTTTCCTGCTGTAGAAGGGCTGCTGGTTTCCTCAGCTGAACAGCGTGGAGCAGGTTGAGAGACACAGCTCTCCAGCCCCATCTTCTCCCCTGCTCTCACTTGCAGCTGCCAGAGCCCATTATGCCCTTCCGCATGTACAACGAGCTGATGGGTCTGGCCAAGGAGAGTCTGCAGGGCGGGGAGGCCAAGGCCAAGGGCGGAAAGGGTGGCCCTGAGCTGGTGGACAAGGGAGCTGACACAGATAAGGTGGTGGTGAGCCTGGTGCTGAGGCTGAAGGAGCTGTTGAGGGACCTTCCCTGGGAGAACATGGCCACGCTTCAGTACCTCCTGCAGCACCTGAGAAGGTGAGAAGGGCAGGTCCAGAGCCCTTGCGGGTGCTGGGGCACCTTCCCTTGCTTCCTTGGAGTGGAAAGGCAAGTGCAGCCTCCCCAGAGGAGCTGCACTGCTGGTGGGGACAGCTCAGCCCCCTCTGGAGCAGGGGGGCAGATCTGTGGCTGCAGCTGCTTCTCTGCTGCTCAGGAAGCTGGTGTGTGCCCTGAGAGAGCACACGGGCACTGCCAGCCCAGTGTCTCCACCCATCCCATCTCCCTCCCTGCTCTCACAAGTTGTTCCTCTTCCCCAGGATTGTGGAGGTGGAACAGGACAACAAGATGACCTCAAGCAACCTGGGCATTGTCTTTGGGCCAACGCTGATGCGCCCAAGGCCCACAGATGCCACCATCTCCTTGTCCTCGCTGGTTGATTATCCCCACCAAGCTCGCATCATCGAGGCTCTCATCATCTTCTACTCAACCATCTTTGAGAACGAGGAAACAACAGCCCTGCCCGACTCCAGATTTGCCACAGACAGCACGGAGGGGGCAGCCAGCTGCTCGGATGGGGTAGGAGTCCTGGGGGAGGGAGCACCCCTTGGGGGGCCCAGCTGACCCAGGGAGCCTGCTCGTGCTGCAGCCACCCCGACACCCCCAGGCTCTGCCCTGACCTTCCCCATCCTGGCTCCAGCCAGCACCACTGCCCTTCCCCAGGGAAACCTGCTTTGCTTTGGCACATCCCTGCCTGCAGCCCCACTCCACTCACAGGTGATTTTCTGTCCCAAAAGAGCAGCCTCAGTGGGTGAGGCAGGCAGGGATGGATGTTTGGAGCCTACATGCCTTTACCGTGGCACCAAGCTGGCATTTCTGCCCTGAACGTGCCCTGGAGCTGTCTCAGTCAATAGGAACGTTTTCTCCTCCGTGCCCTCACAGCTGCTCCTCTCCCCTCAGGCCAACACAAGCTCCCAGCCCGCGGCTGCTCCCGGCAGCATTTCCTACCTTGAGCTGCCCTCGGAGAAGGGGAGTTTGGGTTATGGCACCGACTCATTCCCAGGTGAGTGACGGCGGCTCCTTCCCGGCGGCAGCTCCCTCGGCTGTGG